CAGTTAAAGAAACTCTGTAATTAGAGTCGCACCATCCATACTGTTTGCTACTTATCAGCCATTTCAATCCACAGGGAGACTAAAGAGGAGAACATCCTCTATCCATTCTTTCGAGTCGTGAAATAAATGCCACCCTCAAGTGCGGAACAAAACTCTCCAGCCAGAAAGACACTTTGATCAACAGCTATCCGTTGCTCCATACTGAGCATATATTTGGGAAAACAAAGCACAATCTCAGCTGCTAATCCCCTGAGATTCAGAGCACATTCCCGTGGAAGCCTTTGATCTGTGAAGTGCATCCGGACAGCTGACTCCAGACACACTGCACACTTACATGCACACGCTTGAACAGATATGCACATACATGAGCATTTCACTCTGGCTAATAACATGTTAATAATTTTATGTCTACTGAGACCTACAGTGACAGTTCCTTCACAAAGAATATGTTAAAGACTTCTACGTCTTAATAAATTCCGTCTTAGGTATAATATGGTGAAATATATGGAAATTGATTCATTAGATTTAACAAAAAAGAAACACAAGTAACCCTGATCAAGTGTCTAAATGCTACTAGAGCTCAATCTTACACAAAACCTCAACATTCTTTGACATAAACCCTTTACAGAAGACACCATTCACAACAGCTGAGAGTTATCCACTCTGCTTTGTCACACAGGAGAAACTCTTCCAGCTTTCAGGAATCTTTTTGACATATGATGCCTGATGTGACATTAAAGCCACGTCCACTTCCTTGAACCTCCCAGTCCCCCAGCTACGCTGATGTCAGCCCAAGACTTCCACAGCATCTTCTCATGGGAAAATAAGAAGAAAATCGCCGAGCCCCTCCATGGCCAGGTGGTACCCCTCCTCCCAAAGGCCAGGGCTTTTCTTCTCTTTAGAGTGTGGCTCCAAACTTTTCTCCCAGCCTCTTCAAAGAGCAACAACAGGCCCTTGGTCCCTTGGGAGCACAGAGGGGGTAGAGCCCAATGGGAGAGGGGCATACGTCACACAGCACGCACAAGAGGGCAGCGGTGGGAAAAGAAAACGCACAGGGAGAAAACAGAAAGAAGGAGAGAAAGAGGAAGAGGAGTCTGCATTTGAAAGGTGCTTTCAGCTTCTAGACAAGGGCCCTTGCTTTGTGAAAACGACAAGGAAAGAAAAAGCACAACAGCAGAAGCGAAAAACGAAAAATGAAGGGGGCGCAAAACCTGCCATGTCTTTTATCAGACTTGGAGGCTGAGGGAATGCGTTTAAAAGCTTTAGGCCTATTTCCAAAAAAACCTTTCTACTTTCAAAAAACAAAACAAAAACAAATCAAAGACCTAGCAACCAACTGTGAGACAGGAGGAGTCGGGGCCAGAAGCTCCACTGTGATTCACTTCTGAGTTGCATTTGTCGACTGATGTACCTTTGCTTTTTGTCTACGCTCCTCACAAACTGATGGAAGTTTAGCTGAAGAAAAAAACTAATCCAGGCCTTGGAGAGTGGTAGCTTGGCAAGACTGGACATGGAGGGGTTTTTTTCTATACAGAGGGTAGGGCTTTAGGGTGGAGTGGCCATCAGTGTCACTAAAAACACCCCCCAGCGTGGCCCACTTCAAATGCAGCCTCGTTTCATCAGCCGCAACTGACACAAGGCCACAGGGTGAGCGCAACAAACAGATGGAGGATAGGAAGGGAGAAAGGAGGAGAAGGGAGAAGCAAAAGAGGGGGAAGGGGATTTCAGAATCGAAAGGGAAATCTTATGAAGAAGGCAAGTGACAAGTGGCACTCAGTTCCAAATGAGTTAAGCTCAGAAAGTAGTCACCAGAAACTTGAACTTCCAAGTCCAAAAGTTGTGAAAATCTTCAATCCCTATCAATGTCTCTGTCAGCAAAGAATTTTACAGGCTGCACATAACATATCAGATTTATTGGTACGTGCAGACACTATGCTGTGCACTCGGGCTAAAGTGTGCCAAGGCTCACATGACCTGGATCTCGTGTGTTGAGGACCAACAGGTCCACCTGCCCACACCACTCACTCACTGTCTGCCAAGCTCCCGCAACCTTACATCTGACAACACAAATCATGAATGGGTGTAGATCCTGCATGGAATCATCATTAAGTCTTCAAGTGCTTTCAAGTACAAGCCTTAGTGCGTCCGTGTGTGCTCGCACACAATTTCAATCTAAAACCATTAAATGAAGAAAAACTGCCAATGTGAGGCACTCTACTCAACAATGACCACTTTAAAATCCGCAGTGTTCTGATGGGGAATATGGTTTGAAAAAAAAATGGTTCAAAAGAATTCCGAGCGTGGACTCCCCACTGTTGACACCTGACCCACATTCTGCCGGACCCTGTTTCAGCATGGAGAGGGGGCTTAAAGAATAATGGGTATAAATAACTATCTCACCAGGTATTCTACGCAATATGGACAACTTTTAAAGCAAAGAGAGTAGACTTGTATTTTCGCACAAAAGATTAGCTCCCATTTTTTGTTTTATTGTATTTTAAGCTTAAAGCACCGCAGGGCCAGGCTCTTAAACTTCTTCTCACACATCATTAAGTCTTTCAATTTAGTTAAAATGATATGGTAAGCATTTTCTTTTAGAGGCAAACCTCCTTCATTTTAACAACAACTCATGATCACTGAGATAATGCATTATTTATGGAGTCAATGAAACAGGTTTGGAATGACCTCCACTCATGGAATTATTCCGTAAATCCACTGGAAAGGTTGAGACTTGGTATGGTTTGTGTAACTCTTCTTAACAACTACTGTGAAGAAAAGCAACACACGGTGCTTATGCCACACAACCCAAACATAAAACGTATGACTATGCAGTTATATAAGACTGTAGGGAAATTACCGAAAGCTATTTCACATCACGACACAGCTTATAAACCATGTTGCTTGTGATTAATGATTAGGTTAATGTGAATGTTTATTCAAAGGCGACATTCGACCGCTCCCTTATTCACAAGGGGTTTCCGCATGCGGGTAGCTTGGCATATTTTTACGCCAAATGCCCTTCCTGACGCAACTCCCGCGGGATTTGTGTTTCCTCCCGGGATCAAACTGAGTATCTTTTGCTTATTAGGCAAATGTGTAACTCAGTACACTACAGAGCATGAGGGATTGCAAAGTCTTGTCTTTATAAAAATGTAAAATATGCTTCATGCCCTGGCACAGAATGGGGAAAAAACATAAATGCTTTAAACTTTAATAATCATTACAGATTTAGAATCCACTTTATAATCACAAAACAAAAGAGAAAAGTGCTCAAATAAATATTGATGTGGAAACAACTTTTCTTCTTTTATTCATTTTCCTTCTGAGTTATAAAATAAGCTATTAGACACCGAGACTTGAATTATTTATACAAGCTGAACTCTAAATTGTTCAAAAACATCCAACCCTTTTGGCGGGGGCCTCATCCATCCTGAGCCAAAACTTCACACATGACTGTTGCTGGGAAAAGCAGCATGTGAATATGTCGAGGAAAAAAGTAACGAATGTTTGTTTTTGCAGTAACAATTTATGATAATTGCATGATAATAATGTGGTTTTAAATGCTTAAATTGCCCAAAGCATATGAACCCCGCTGAACATATAAACAGCTAAATAAATGGAATGGATTTTTGCTGCAGCAGCAGCTACATGCTCTGAAAGAAAAAAAAAGGGATTCAGATTGTTTTTCCTCCAAAAAACCCCTCTTCAAAATACATCCCAGTGCCTGCTGTGAGTGTGATCCTGTTACCATGTGATGAAGTTTGCTGCAGCTCTGGGCACATGTCAGGATGAACAATTTTTCCTGTAGATGCCAAGCTCCCTACACTTTATTCTACAGCTCCGCTTACCAAATCTACCAAAGAACTCTTGGACCAGCAGACAAAACAACAGCGGATTTTATCTTTGGCTTCGGTGGGAATCAGCACACCATTTTGTTGCCTTACACTTTCTCGGGTTGTATGCCAATGACTTCTCATACTAGTGGTTCATTGAGGAATTATAATCTGCATGTGTATTTCTGTCTCACTTGTGTTATTTACAGTTCAAAAGCATGGGCATAACATGGTTTCAGCTTGCTGCATGTAAATGATGCCACGGAGCTGCATGTCGCTGATGATAGGATTCTAGTATTTAAGAACAGTGAACACTAAAGGATCTGTCGAGTATTTTAAAAAGGAAAATCATGCCATGCAATAACACAACAGAATATTACACTAGTTGTGATATATCCTGGATTGTGGGATGCATTTAATAAATTGATGTATTTCTTCTCAAACTGTCTGGATTGTGAGTGGAGGGACTGATTTTCCTTTTCTTTTTTTTTCTTTTTTTGGGGTGGTGTTGTTGTTTTTTTAATTCTTGATGGGCTCTAATTCCTCAAACATGCTGCCTTTGAGGAAGGCATGGCAAACCAAAGAGGCTTAACGCTCCTCTGAAGCAATTCCAAAGGATTTCCCCGCTTGACAATAACAGCACCGTGTTTACGGCAATGCCAAAATACAAAACAAGCATGACCTCCAACATTTCTTTCTCCAGCCCTTACGATCCACACTTGTCACCGGACTGTCACACTGAGCTGCTTTCAAGGCTTGATCTATTGTTACCTGAAAGATAATCCCTCAATCAAGTGCACACGGCTGCGCATTTGTGAGCTCAACGGTCTTATTTTGCTCACAGGGAAAACAAAAGTAAGATTGCGATTGGTTTACTTTAATTACCGACATTTAACTCACCGTGAACAGCCACTGTTAAAAGTTTATCCACCAAAGAGTCAAAAAAAGACTGACAACACTTGAGGTTAAATGTAGCTTCGCGTGCTATCGTAGAAGTGACATTAAAAAAATATGAAATAAAATGTTTTTTAAAAACTGCTTAAGGTGTGAAACATGTACGAGGAGACACGCAATACTTGAGTAACAAGACAAACTTTACAAATAAAATAAGTTGTGGAGCAAAACTTCATTATGAATACCCGAGTGTACGTATACAGTCACACTCACCCGTGCAGTTAACCCGCAGTTATTCTTGTGGTGACAGTCCTGTTGCTCGAGGCGCGAGCTCGTGCAGTAGTATTTCTGCTTCACGAGCCAGTCATCGATTCCCTTCCTCGCCAAACAGGCATTCACTACAAAACTGTCGCCTGAAACACAAAAGCAGCGGTATTAGCAGTGAGTACAAACCGTTTTCTTCCTCTCTCTCTAGTGTGTTCACACTACAAGCGCGTTAACCTTCAAAGACTCTCGGAGCCTTCGCGCTGCAATAAACTGAGGCTGATACGGACTCTGGAAACTGCTCCGCTGTTCACAAACTGACCGAAATGCTCAGAAAATGTTTGAGTGCATCATGTAGGGGAGTAAGTGCGCTTACCTTCTGGACTCTCCCGCGGTTTACAAATAGCAGCTTTTGAGAAGGAGATAGAAAAAGAAAAAGAAAGACAAGAGACAATGAATGTGTTACTCGAAAGTATCGCAACACCCAGCAACTACAGCTGTGATTTTTCTCTCGGGAATAAGACGTCTTACCATGTTTCGAGTGCAGTTTACCCATTTCTATGCATCGAGTTGGAGTTGAAAACCATCAGATGAATATAATCCAAAGGAGGAATAACAAAAAAAATAGAGACGCGCTACGATATCCAGACAGAGGAGCGTCCGTGGAGACCGAGAGCAGACTGCGCTCAGAACAGGACCATAAGACCAGGGAGCCAAACGAGCCTTTGATCCAGAGCGCCGCCACTGACGAGACTCGCGATAGACAATAGGCTGTGCGACTTCCTTACACCGATTTCAGATTAAAGCACAAGCGACTGGCGATAGCTCAAGTAATAATGGACCGAGAGAAAGGCATGTCATTCTGACTTTGAAAATAGCAAATATTTACAATGCGGCACACTCTTAGAGTCTTAAAGACGTAGAGCCAGAAACCAAACCTAGTCTGGTTACAGGTGCACCACGGGTTAAAACACACACAAACATACAACAGAACCCCTCAGTGACCCATGTTCGTGCGTTACAATGCTTTTATTATGAAAATTACATCTCAGGTTTTCCGGAGCGTCGTGACATTTTCTGTCTGCCTTTACGCATCCCGTTCGGCTCTGGCTTTCAAGCGCGCGCGAGGTGACGCCAAAACATTCATTTCTCTGTTTCATTTTTGCCAGTTGGGGTCTGGTGGCATCCTAAATGATCCCAAACCAGCGACCTCAGCTGTTATTTCAAATCCAAGCGTGTTTGTTGTGAGGGTTTTTGTTTGTTTGCTTGCTTGCTTGCTTTTATATTAAAATGAAATACAAATAAGCAAAACATAAAATAAATTCACTGGAAAGCTGTGAAACATTTCCCTCGGTTTGGGGTTTGGGTTGCTTACTCGGGTAGAATAATTTCTCTGCGTCTCACATTTGCAAAGTATGCAAAATCTTTTTTTTTTCTTTCATTATTTTGATTGAATTACCTTTGACGAAGCGTGCAATCATTAAATACAAATTCTCTTTGTATTCTCTTTTGACCTCTGACTACTTTTTCACTTTTTATCAACATTATCCTCTCAGATGGGCTTCCCAGGGGTAAAAGTCATTTCATACGGGGCTCCGTGGTCAGTGCCCGCCTGTCTTTTTGGGGTCTCTAATATGAAAATAAGGGTCTTAGTGGACTGAGGCAGCAGATGAAAGCGGGCTAAGATTCTTTTGATGTCTTCAGATATAAGACAGAAGCCACTGTGCCATTTCATGCCAGGCTGCCAGTAGCTCAGTGTGAACATAATATAACGCACAGTGGGCATCATCTTTTGGGAAAACACTGCAAAGTCGATACTCTAATCATCACCAGTGAAAGACTGAGCTTGAACAGGAATTGAATATTAGATTTATTTATTTATTTTCTGGCACCAATTTTAGCAGCATTACAATTAGTGCTCAATCACAGTGTTCTTTTGGTCTGAAACACATCAAATCCAACCTGATCCATTATGTGAAGTGGAATTTTTTTAGAGTGTTTGGTTCAAGAAATAGATAAAAGAAATCTTTTCCTTTCACTTGTACAACATTTTCTTCCTCAGATTCTTGTATGATTTAATCTCAAAGAACTCACACTGTACAAAAAACTAATTAAAGTATTAAGTTTAATTATTATTGCTAAATGCAAAGTTTTTCTCAATTCAGTCAAACCATTATGTGCTTTTTGATTTGAATTAATCCGATCAGTCATGTGTCCTTTATTTGGTGTAGCTAGGTTTTATGAACAAATGTTTCACCTGACACTTCACATCACATTTAAACACATATTATAAATAACAGGAGGATTTGAATCATAAAAGTTTTCTGAGGACTGTCACCTGAATGCAGGTCGTGAGAATTGCATAAAAGGTAATGTTTCATGTGCGTTTTCAATCAAACAGCAAGATGCTGGCATGGTTTTCCTAGAGCTGGATGTCTAAATTTAGTCTTCTTTTGTCGTTTCTGTGTCATGGAAATTTTTTCCTCTCCCTTTAAATCTTAAAACAGAAGTCTTTGTTCAATTTTAGGACATAATTTTAATATTTGATGTCCTTGGATGCAAATCCATGTTGTTACAGTGCTGCTAATCACTCCTATACTATCACTGGGTCCTGCTGTCAAGAAGTCAACACTGTGTTTTTATGTTTACATATTTCCTTTACCTGTGGGCCTCCAGCATACAGGCTGCCAGTATGTGAAGCACACATGCTGGCAGCCTACAAACTGTTGTTTATTTGTTTAAATTAGAAGGCAAGCTGATTTTCATTTTTGTGCATATTTTATGTGATCTTTATCCCACTGTATTCACCTGAGGACTATTCCCATTTAAAAAGCACAGTTGTTGATAGCGTTACATTTTTGAGAAAGGGCCTCAAAAAACTTGCATGTAAAATGCAAAATGTAATGAAGCTTTCAAATGCTCAGCATTGCCGATTTACAGTTTTAGAAAGCCACCTGCGATTCCATCTGTCACAAATTTCACAAAAGTTTTGATACTTTTGTGGCAATCTCCACTCCCACTGAAACATACAGACGTGACCAGACTAGATGTTTTGTATGGTTTAAATATTCTGGAGACGAATATCAGCCACATATTCAACATTCACAGGTTTAACTTTCACTGAAGTCTAACCAGCATGGGAGTTTAATACTACAGAAGAAGTTATAACTTGTGTAGTTAAGCAGGTAATAACCACCTCTGCCTGGAGGAGAGTTGTTAATATCAAAACTCTAATCCTGCCTCAGACTCGATTTTTGAGGAAGGACACATCTTTCAGGATGTGGCTGTACAGTAGACACATGTCCTTAGGCTGGTCCACATGCACAATGTTTTCCGCATCATGACTCCATCGTCACGTGTTGTACTAAGAGGAATCAGACTCCCCTTTGAACTAGTCTGCCGCAGACACAGATGAACGTGTTATTATAGCAACTCGTCTGAATTCGGTGGAAAAGAAGGCCTGTCCCTCTGACACACTTCCTGTCCTTTGAAGAGGCCAACGGAGAGATGGCTTTGCAGGCCCTATTTCCTAGCTTTCCCTTTGATGCCTGTGAGAGAGGAGGAGGTGGAGGGGGGGGGTTTAGAGCCATCTCCCGAATGTGAACCCCCAAACCTCCAATCAATCCCCATTATCAGGGGTACAGTTTATTTTTTGCCTGACACACAATCAAATCAGAGAATAAATGGAGTAAATATTTCGCTTCTATTGAGGCATTCGTCAAATGGAGTTGAAATCAGTCCCTTGATTATTGTTCTGTTTTTCCATTATGGCAAAAAATGCTTCATGAGAACAAAGCTAAATTCTCTAGACACCTGTCTGATTGATGTAAGTATTTATTTGCCTAGGGGAGCACCTACTTTGGTGGTCAGCTCTGGCTCATTCCATCATAAAACTGGGCATTCTCCAAGGAAACAAGCATAATGGGGGGTATTGAGGCAGCTAAATTCAGGGGCATCTAATGGTTTGTCTGTGTTTATGTCCTTGTAACAATGTTAGGGGCCTGATGCCTGGCGAGAGCGCTGGAGGGAATGCTGCCTGGTGGTGAAGAGGGGGATGTGAAGCATATAGAGGGAGAGAAGAGCAGCTGCTGGCCGCTTAAAGCTCAAACATGTGACTGTTGCCTTTATCTTGAGGAACAAAAGGGCGTGGATGTTGTAAAGGGCAGAAGACAATCGAGACTGAAGTACAGTGTTGATTCCTGCAGTGGTGGTGACTCAGCCCATTGTAGTGGCTCAGCGTGTGATGTGTCAGGCAAAGGGTCTGCAGGGGGGGAACGACAGCCTGGCATGTGTTCGCCTTTCTGCATGGTGGAAGTAATGGAAATAACCTGGATTCTGAATATTTCTAGACTCTTTGGTGTCAGTTGGTCTTTGAGGCAAGTAGAGTAAAAGTGTGTTAAATTACATGAAGCTACACACTGCAACACTGTGCAACAAGTTTCTTTAAGAGCTTGGAAATAAGCACTGAAAAGAAAAATAAAAGATAACAAATTCCCTGCATTTGAAATTATGAAGACCCCCCCCCCAAAAAAACACATTTACTATTAAAATCTAATAAAATCGGTTGTGTACATGTTAAAGGGAACATTTGTAGTTTATATATAGATTATCCAAAATATTGGAAGACTTAAAGCAACACTCCTAGTCTTGGTTTGGTCCTAACTAAGCTTTGTTACAGCAGCATAAAATGCACAAAACGCAAAAAATAAGTATTGGGTAGTGAAACAATAAATTTGAAAAAGTGCATGTTGCAGACAGCACATTCTAATACTAAGACTGCTGATCCTGTACTTAACATTAGTGGTTTGTAGTGTAAAGTAGGGGAATCCTTATCATCCCGCTTAAAAATTCCTTTTTATCTTAACAGCAGCACATAAAACACCTCTAACGGGGCCTGAAGCTCGCTGACATTTCTTTTTAGTAAAATGTGTCTACATAAAGCGAGCAATAAAGAGAGCAAGTGGCGTGCAAAGCAACACACAGAAGCAGATCTTTTTTTAGGAGCACCACTGAATGACTACTAATTGTTCTGACGTCAAAAAGTCTCCAAATTTAGGCCAATATAATCAATACTTTCTGCTTCTGTACTTCTCTTTACTATCTGTACTAGACACTGGCTGCTTTTTTGAAGCGGTGGGGGTGTAGCCCCATCCAGAACGAGGACACAATTAGTGTATTCAGCCGAAAACAGTGGGGTTCCCCCTTTGATGTGGGGATCAAATGAAGGAGCTGTGTGTTTTTGTCCAAAATGACAGGCTTGCCAGGTTTACTAATGGGTAGCTAATAGAAAGAGAGGTTTATGATGCTCATTAATTACACAGTCTGTCATGTGTTGGAAAGCTAGAATAGAGGAGACGGGGAAAAGAGAAAGAGAGTCGGGTGCAACAGAGGAAGCAAAAGGAAGAGAGTGGGGGTAGTAGTGGTGGAAAGCAGGCTGGGTGTACCCTGAAAGGGGGAAATGATAAATGAATGGAGTGAAAGAGCAAGGGTACGGAGAAGATCTCCTAAAAGATCCATACAAAACCTGTCTTGATGGAAAGCAAGGAGAAGATGAAGAAGAAGAAAAAGAAAGGAACAGGAGGAGATAAAATAATCCGTTCCTAAAGATAAGAGCAGCCACCAAGACAGGAGCTTCAAAGAGCAGGAGACACTCTCATGGGAGCGTGCCATAAACCTTTTCCTCATCTTCAGAGGAAAATTCAGTCCCTGATC